AGATCATCACTCACCACATGAGTTTCCTTAGAAGCTTTGGCCACAGCGTCCCCCCTCTCTGTGAAGTACCTGAGGATTTAAACAGCAGTGATGAAAGGCTCCACTCTCAGTAAAATGACTCTGAAGTTGACACAAAGGCAGCTGCCGCGCTTTAAAGGAGGATTTACGTCCAACTTACTTGTTGATGTTGGTCTGAAAACCGTCGACTTTGGTTCTCACTGCAGCGATTCTCTCCAAGATTTTCTCCTGTGGTTTAAACAAAAACAAAAAACCTTAAAGATCAACGTATTTCTTTATCACATTAAGTTAAAATCAGTGGCTTTATATTCAATTAAAATGAACGAGCAGCCAATTAAACAGACGACGTATACCTGGATGGCGACTCCGAAGTCATTTCCATCCTCTATCTTTGGGATGAGGTGCTGAATCCAGCAGGTGACCTGCAGTTTGAACCCAGAGCATTAATCCTCATTTTAAAATCATTCTCATATTGTTCCTGTCTTAGAGCATCGATCAGCCCTCAGAGCAGTGATTCACTCACAGTGATGATGGTCTCTCTAAAAGCGACTATCTCTGGTTTCACTCTCTCTAGCACCAGCGTGATCTTCTCGTTCCCCTTGATGAAGCCACACTTTGGGGCTGAAGAGCAGAGAGAACAGATGAAGCTTTTGTTCCCCGTCCCCACAGACATCACACGCTACCTTTCAGTTTTCACATGTGTGGCTACAAAAATGCCTTACGCTTCTTCTTCTTCTTCTCGTCGTCTTCATTCTTGTCGGTCTCCATCTCCTGAGAGAGACATTTTTTTACAGAGTGAGAAAAGATCGGCTTTACCGGGCGTCTTAAATCAATTAAAAATGTGAAAAATCAGATGTCACAGTTTGTGCACAGCCTCCTTCTTTTATAATCCTATCTGTGACCCCACAGCAACATGGCAGGGTGGGGTCATTTTCTGATAATCATAGCACATGTTTTGATGTCTCCATAGGTGCTTTACCCCTTTTTCCTCCTGCAAGTGAGGAAGCTGAATATTTGCACTCACATTAAACCAGTTAAAATTCATTCAGAGCCAATAAAGACACATTCAAAGGTCAAAGCAGAGAGATGTGAGTGTGTTGGTCGACTCTGCGTCAATTAATGCACTAGTGAAGAGAACGCCAGAAAAGTAACTTTCAGTATATTAAAAAATATAACTGAGATTTGTGGAAGGGCAAAGCTGCAAAGCTTCTGGTCTCTAATGTCAAAAGTTTTCTCAGAAAATTTGAGCTTAATTTTTGTGAAACTGTTCCCCTGATTTCAACAGTTTTCAGGAATATTATGTGCCTTGTATATGACAAGCTGCAAACCAAATATCAGTCCTCTACCTGCAAAGCGGGGTCTTTACAGGCCTCCAAATCTGCTGTCAGAGATCAGACTTTAAGCTTCTGTCACTATGTTATCCCGAACTTCACCCTGAGGTTTTATTTTAATTTGATAAACAGAGATGAAATGAACCAAAAGTTACCGACCTTCACTTACCCCAACTTCTGA